AGATCAGTCATATTTGAATTAAAAATGTGAATTAAAAATTAAAATGCCAGCCAGCTGCAAATCCACGAGCAACAGTTGCACTAAGAAGCCTTTATTATTAGAGACATGTTAGATACCGAAATTTAAAGTCCTAACATTTCAGTAAAATACATAATATGTAGTTTCTATTAATAAAATAAATAAAATATTTAGTATAGAAATAGCAAAATATTTTTATACAAAGTAGTGAGTCTGTTATCCCTTCCATTTGCAAAGGATGAAAACTGTCAATAAGACCTGTTTGCAAGAACGTCTTGGGTTCTAATAGTTACAGAAGTAATAGGTCACAAGAGGAGTTATGAAATAAATAAATATGTTTTCCCAGATGCCACTTGAGGGAGAACACTTTGGAAGATCCAGAGAAAATAAGAAACTAAATGGAGATTGCCAGGCTAAGAAAGCCACTTGTGGATGCATGAATATAATCATCAAACACAGCGATTATAAAATCACATTGGCCTCAAACTCATTCTGAAAGCAGACATTCTGTGGGCTTCTGTTCTAGGGAGTGAAATTGTCTGAGTTTCTTTCTTTCTTTCTTTTTTTTTTTTTTTTACCCGGAGATCCATTGCTTAATTTGTTTCTCTCCCCCAAGGGCAGTTTGAGAGCTGTGATACTCTTTTCCACCCACCCAACTTCTTTTAACCACCTAGTTCCATTTTCCATGTATATAGCACAGAATCCACCATAAAACTATTTTATCCTTCATTGAGTGCTCTCTGTGGGCAGCTCAGGGCTGAATAGGAATATAATGTCCCTGACTTCAAGGAATTTATAATCTACTTAAGGAGGCAAGACATATATGCATAAAAGATACATTATAGGGCAAGTCAGGCAGTATTTATAGAAACAGATATTATCAAAGAGATGGTCTTTAATTGGACTTTAGGGATGGTGGAATGGACATTCTTGTTCCTGTAATCAATATTCATTACCTGCTTTCCCATTATTAACAGCAACCAGACTTTAACTTAGATACTATTCTCTACTTTAAGCTCAAGTACTTTAAAGGAAGCTTATCTGACCTCAGGCTTTCAGAGTTGTGGTTGATTTAATCCAATCATTAGCACATTATTGTTCAGTTGGGGCTGTGACTAGGAGATGGGAAGAGGAGTATATGACCCAATCAAGGTGAATTTCAGGAATCTTGTTTGGAATGCTAGGAAGAATCTCTCTCTTCCTCCAGTAAGGTACATAGTTGTGCAGACTGGAACCACTAAAGCCAATTTTTTCCCCATTGTAAGTCAACTTGAAGGCCAAGGGAATATCTGGAGGAGGGTGCTGACAGAACTGTAAAGAAACAGAAGTAGAGCCACTAGAGCAAGCCAGTCTGAAACCTGTTTTACCACTAGACCAATATATTTCCTTATTCTTTAGCCTAGTTTAAGTTGGTCTTTTGTTTCATGTAGCTGCAAGTCTTCTAATTTAGACGGCTACACTGCAGGTAAGTAAAGAGGTTCAAGTGTTCTGGGCCTAACTTATATTGAAGAGATGCAAATAAGTCAGGAACCCCTTGAAGACAGAGAACAGACGAATGTGTTCGGGGTGGAGGGTCTACAGAATGTTATAATAAGGGCAAATGTTAAAAAAAAAAAGTGGTTTGGAGGCAGATAGAAAAATTTAAAACTCAGTCTACAGATTTTGGACTTGTTTTTTAGGTAGGGTCAATGAATGAGTTTTGATTGGGAAATGTCAGAATAACAAACATTGAACACTTACAATGTGCCAGGCATTATACATGTATTACCTTACTTAATTATTGAAATCTTTAATGAGGTGCTATCTCTTTTTCTTGTTTGACAGTTGAGGAAAATGCTTAGTAACACGGTAATTGGGAGAGCTAAGATTAGAATACTTGCATTCTGATCTTAGTGCTGCTACTCTAAACTATTGCTTTAGTGTGCCTCCTAGACATCATAATACAAGTGATGTTTTTAAAAGATTAATCTGGGGACAGCTGGATGGCTCAGTTGGTTAAGTGTCTGACTCTTGATTTCAGCTCAGGCCTTAATCTCAGGGTCTTGATCTCAGGGGCATGAGTTTAAGCCTCACCTTGGGTTCCATTTTGCACTGGGCATGAAGCCTACTTAAAAAATAAAAGTAAGATAAAGTAAAATAAAAGGTTAATCTGGTAGCAGTGTGCAGAATGATTTGGAGCAAAGAGTAGAATGGACTGAAGCTAGGAAAAATAGTTCTGGCACAAAGTTTTAGAACTGAAGAGAACACAGTGATTATCGTTCAGTTCTACTCATTTTATAGAGGAATTTAGGGCTCAAAGATTGTGACACTTACAATGACACAACTAATTAGTAGTATATGGAGTCCAAGCCCAGGAGTTTTCTTCTACAACATGCCTCGGATGCTGCAATTGTTTGAGTGGGATGTGATGATAACCTAAGTCAGAGTGGTGGTAGTGAGAAGAATTTAAGAGATATCTCAGAGATATTATAAAGAAATAATTGATAGTATGGAGGGTCTGATTAGATGTAGGAAAAACATAAGGAAGAGTCACAGATATTTTTGACTTTCTGCTCCAGAAGATTTGGGGGAAATGATTCCAGTGACAGAAACGGAAATCAGAAAAGATACTTTATTTTTTTGTTGACGAAGGAGGTGGTGGATAAATTTTGTTTTTAGACATATTAAGTTTGAGGTGGTAGTGGATTCCTCAAGTTTAAACGCTATACAGACGGCTGAGTGTGAAGGACTGAAACTGGAGACACAATTTTATTTGCTTATTTTATTTTATTTTTTAAAATATTTTTATTTATTTCTAGGAGAGAGAGAGAGAGAGAGACAGAGTGAGCAGGGGAGGGTCAGAGAGAGAGGGAGATACAGACTCTGAAATAGGCTCCAGGCTCTGAGCTGGCAGTCAGCACAGAGCCCGACTCGGGGCTCAAACCCACAAACCGCGAGATCATGACCTAAGCGAAAGTCGGACGCTCAACCGACTAAGCCACCCTGGCGCCCCTGCTTATTTTTTTTTAAAAGTAGTCTCTACACCCAACGTGGTGCTTGAACTCACCACATAGAGATCAAGAGTCATATGCTCTACCAATTGAGCCAGCCAGGCACCCCTGGAGATACAATTTTAGTTATTAGTTTCATTGAGGTAGTAGTTAAAACCATAATTTTCTCATTAAACATAAAGTCAGAGTAAAGCAAAGTGAGGGCATTATTATTATTTTTTAAATCTCCTGCATTCAGCTGGGATCATTTCAGTTATTAATTTACTTATTTGTTAATGCTTATTTATTTTTGAAAGAGAGAAAGACAGAGTTTGAGTGGGGGAGGGGCAGAGAGAGAGGGAGGCTTCAGGCTCCACACTGTCAGCACAGAACCCGACATGGGGTTTGAACCCACACACTGTGAGATCATGATCTGAACCGAAGTCAGATGCTCAATTGACTAGTCACCCAGGTGCCCCTCATTTCAGTTATTTGAAAAAACTTTAGGGGAATAAACTTTCAGCTACTTTGAAAAAACCTTTTGTAATGCTTCTTCTGGATTTGGATAAAAATCCTACAATCAGTGGTGTAGAGAGGATAAGCAATAACATGCTTATTAAGGCTGTACTTTTTCATGGTCATCAACTCATTATACCTCTGTATATTAGAAACCCCATTTATAAGGTAATTAATTCCTGTGTGTATATAATTTAACAGTGAGGTGGCTGAAGTCCTTCCTTTTCACTTTTGGTACTGTTTCCATTTCATCAAAGGTTCTCATCTGAAGTTTTAGGGTAAAATCTGGATATATTCCAATCAACCTTATACATCAATTCTTTCTGAGTCTACTTCCCCTACTTTTCGTGGCTGCACTACGAAAGTTAAATTCACCACCTTCATGGCATCATTTTCTTCCTATGTTCTCTCTGAGGGTGATTTTCTTCTTTGAATCTGAAATAACATCATTTGCTCACTTTCATATTTCAGTGTATTTTCTTATATAAAAAAATCACTTGAAATGTAAAGACCTAAAAACTAAGTTGATAGAACGAAAACTAAAGAACAGTCAACATTCTTTTTCGGCTCACACAGTAAATTATTTCTCTAATACCTATTTCCCTCTTCCCCCATTATGTATTAACCATGTGGTTTGGGTGGGCCAAGTCTATCAGGTAATTCAATTCTCTTGCTGCAGTGATGGGTTCAGGTAGTCAGAGCTAAGTTATCAGAGCATGGCCTGCCCTGGCCACAGGGAATGAATGAATCAGTGCACAGTTTAGAACTTAACGTTGAATGGCTGTGGGAGCAGACTAGCTCAGATATGGGAAGGCTCTGTTTTTATCAGCCATAATATGTCAGTGAAAGGAATCTTTGTGAAGTCAACACTGTGGAGAGTAGAGTACATATTCAGAATGAAATGGAGTCCCTGATAAAACATAACTAGATTGCTGGTTTGCCCAATTCTGAAACCTTATCTACTTCTGAATTTTCTAGTTAAATGAGCCAAAAAATGTCCTTATTGTTTGTCAGTTTGTGTTGAATTTTCCTTTATACATAAAAAAGCATTCTAAGAGGTAAAGCATTCTTTATCTCTTGGTAAGCTGTCTGTTTGTTATGGCGGAAAGTCCTGAAATAGACTCTATCTTTAAAGTTTTGTACTCAGTTTTTTCTTCTTTTTTTTATTTTAATATTTTTAAATTTATTTCTGAGATAGAGAGAGACAGCATGAGCAGGGGAGGGTCAGAGAGAGAGGGAGACACAGAATCTGAAAAAGGCTCCAGGCTCTGAGCTAGCTGTCAGCACATAGCCCCATGCGGGTCTCAAAGCCACGAACCGTGAGATCATGACCCGAGCCGAAGTTGGCCCCTTAACTGACTGAGCCACCCAGGCACCCCCAGTTTTTTCTTCTTGACTAAACTACTCATGACAGTTGTACAAGGTGTTAAAATGGAACCCTATTTATCCATTGCTTACATATGGGGAATGTGTCTGTTACCATTCTCACAGACTTACTTACAAATGAGCTCATTTTCTCATGGGTGTTATGATCTTGAGATGTCTTCTGGGATTTCCAGTCCCTGGTGTTGTTTCTCAAAGGAAAATGATGTTGTTGAGCCTGCCAAGATTTCCTCACCTTCAGTGTGGTTTTCAAACGTTCCCATTTCTTAATTCCTTGACTGTTGGGTAAAGAAAAATATTAAAATATCTTACAACATGTATATTTAAAAAAATAAAAAATAAAGACAATGGGATGCTTCTTATGTTGGTTCCCTACGATACAGATACCTAACTGATCCTTTATCATGCTGTGCAATAGAAAGTTCTTCAAAGGTGGAAATGTTCTATATTGGTACTATGCAAAATGTAGCCACGAGTCACATATAGCTATTGAGCACTTAATGTGTGACTACTATAACTGAAAAACTGAATTTCTAATGTTATTCTAATGTTATTTAATTTTAATATAATAATAAATTGATATAAAGATAAATTTAAATAGCCATACGTGGCTATAGCTAGTGGCTACCATGTTGGACAACACAGCTCTAGATAAACCTAGACTATTACACGGTTAAATAGAACAATGGCAAAAGATGGCTGTAACCAAACAAGTGTGCTTTTATGGTCATTTCTTATTTTTGGGAGGCAGTTCAACACTGATTTAATGAGATATTATACATTTAAATCAAATTGAGTGAGACTTGTCTGACAGGTGAGGGAAAGAGAGAAGTCCACACAAGAATCCAGTAGTCTCACCATATCTATATATCTATAAAATTCAAACAGTGTGTTCCAAGAATAAAGATTTATGTCATAACCATAACTTCTTCAAAATTATTGGCATCTCTGTGTATATGAGGCACCCCCAAAAATATCTAGCCAATAAATACGATAAATTTATTTTTCTCTCTCTGGTATTTGGGTGAACTAACTTATCATTGACTAAGGTAAAGACTCTAATAAACTTGGATTATTCTTGATCTCTTCTGCTAATCTTTTCTTCACCTTTCCCTTGTGGGAAATGACAGGGCTTTGTTCTATCTCCCTTTTAGTTTAGTGTTATATGACGCTAATCAGAAAGATAGTGAAGCAATTAGGGATGCGGTACCATCAGTACACAGCTGATAGTAAGCTTTGCCTCTCCTTTCATCAGATCTAGGATACAGTTTCTTGAATTTCACAGTGTCTGGCAGAGTAAAGGACATGGACGAAAGCATTTGGATCAGACACCATCTAGATAAGGCTAAAGCAATCCTCATAGGCAGAGGGAGACATTTGAAGTATATAGCAGCCAATTCATGTTGCCGAAGATAAACCCACCCTTTGTCTCTGAAAGCTACAATTTTGTTGGATATCTTAGATTGCAGGCTATTCCTAAGTGATTAGATTTTGGCCAAGACTTCTGCAATCACTTTCTACATGTTTTCAAATAAACAACTATTATCTTTTCTTCCAGTTGGGAAGATTGTTATGGTTTTATCATCTTGCACTGTATTTTAGCCTATGTTGATGTCTTCTATATCCATTATTATGCTTGTCTTACAAATCCTAGGCCATTAGACCTATTTTTGCCATGAATCTTCATTAGAAGATGGGCTCAGTTTTCTTGGTATTCCTGTTAGTTATTTCTGGATTCCAGATGGGGCCACAGTCTTGTACTAGGGGAGAATATAATCTAATCAGAGGGATTTACTCTTTTCTAATGGAGAATTCATTAACTCTATTTCAATCAGATTTATTAAATGTCTAGCATGTAGTATGGTAACTAGAGGATGGTTAAGACATAAATCTTTATTCTTGGAACACACTGTTTGAATTTTATAGATTTTCTATACTGATTTCATATTGTCCATCTGAGCAATTCATATTGCACCAAATATAGCACGACCATAAAATCTGATGTGCAAACTGGGATACTTTTGAGAGTGAAAGGAGTTGCAATTAATAATTACACCTGATCAGCAAACTTAAAAAAAATTTTTTTAACATTGATTCATTCTTGACAGAGACAGAGCATGAGTAGAGAGGGGTAGAGAGAGAGAGAGAGGGAGACTCAGAATGTGATGCAGGCTCCAGGCTCTGAGACGTCAGCACAGAGAGGCCAATGCAGGGCTGGAACCCACAAACCATGAGATCATGACCTGACTCAAAGTCAGATGCTCAACTGACTGAGCCACCCAGGCCCCACCCTGGGCAAGCTGGGTTAGTGTCAGGGAAACTGGAACATATGGTCACCTTAACTAAACATTAGTTTTTGTTGGAATTGTTTTTTGCCTTTTAAGTATGACAGTTTAGGATCAGTTTGGGTTATATATAACTATTTTATGACGCTTATTATGTGTCAAACATTGTGGTAAAAGTATGCTCATATTTTGGTTAGGGAAACAGAAAATATGCATATAGCCATACTAAGCAGTTGTGTATAGTGCTGTGAATCCTGGACAGGGAGCAAATTTGAAAATTTGCATTGAAGTTCAATCTCTTTCTTTGGTCAAATCACTTAATCTCTCAGGTTGTTTTCTAACCTGTAAAATGGAATGATGCACTTCTTCAAAGGATAGTATGAGAAGGTGGTAAAAAATGTGAAAGCAGCTAACATGGTATGTATCAATAAATGCTTGATAAAAGGTCATCTGAGTTTGTTGATTTTGTAGTTTAATGTGAGATAGTCAGACTGGGAGTTAGAGACTCTTATTCTCTTCCTAAAAACTTTTATTATGAAGAGCTTTTCACTGTCATTCATGGCCAATTTTGCTCTGTTCATACCCTCTCCATATTATTTTGAGGCAAATCTCAGCACATACAGTAATTTCACCCATCGGTATTTTAGTCTATATCACTAAGGATTCTTAATTTTTTAACATCATCACAATACTGTTAACTAAAAAAAAAACAAAACCCAACAATAATTACCTCTTATTATGAAATACTTTGTTACTGTCCAAATTTCCAGTTTTCCTAAAGGTTTTTTCCAGTCTTTTTAAAAAATCAAGATTGAAATGAGGTCCATGAATCCCTGTACTTGGATATATTTTTTAGATTTCAATTAAAGTATAGATCTTCCCTACAGCTCTTTATTTTTCCCTTGTAATATATTTGCTGAAAAAACTGAATTTTCATTCCATATACTGCAATCCCCTGGTGTAGTTTAATATGTTTCTTTATAGGGCGCCTGGGTGGCTTAGTCGGTTGAGTGTCCGACTTTCGCTTAGGTTGTGATCTTGCGATGCGTGGGTTCGAGCCCTGCGTCGGGCTCTGTGCTGACTGCCAGCTCAGAGCCTGGAGCCTATTTCAGAGTCTGTGTCTCCCTCTCTCTCTGACACTCCCCTGCTCACTCTGTCTGTCTCTCTCTCTCTCCTAGAAATAAAAAAAAAAAATGTTTCTTTGATTTTAGTGCTTCCTGTAAATTGATAGGTGGACCTAGAAGATGTTCAAATTCAGGCTTTTTTTTCCCCACCCAAGACAACTTCACAGGTTGCTTTGTGTTCTTCCATCAGGAAGCACATAATGTCTGGCTGATTATCTTTTATGATGCTAGCAGCTGTTGCTATTTAATTGCTATTTAATGCCTAGATCCATTTGTTCATTAGGAGTTTTTAATTTATTTCTGATCTCATAAAATTTACTGTCGGTTTACTTCCATAAGTGGTCAGAGTTGTAACTAAGACAAAGATATGATTTAAGAAAATAGTAACATCAGTAGTGTTTCTATGTCCTAACCTCTAATATTGCCCTATTTCATGTTACAGATGTGCTCATTGACGTTAGCAGGGAACAAAAATAGAAATGACTTTATAAAACTATAAATGAAAGATGATTAGAATATGATTTTCCCAGATCCTTTTAATATAAATGGCTCTACGGGTTTTATGACATAATAATTAAGAAATAACCTCCTACATGGCTAAATACACAAAAAGTAATTAATAAAGCTTATCTACACTAACATCCACTAAATTTTTCATTACTTCTTGGCCTCAAATCCCAATAATTAAACTGTACTAATCTCTAGCTTCTTTTCTAGGAACAAACAATGTATTCTTTCTCTGATGCTGTGCTCTTTTGTTATCACTAATATAATACTGTTATTTTAATTTGAAATGACAGTGTGGCCCCATAACCATAGCTAATCACTTCGTGTTGCTTTTCCAACAATGCCGATTAACTTTTGGTGAACCAGTCATATTCTTCCACACAGTTCCTGGTCAAGAAATAACATGTTGTCACTTGACAACTGGCAAGATTAACAGTCAGCTGTGGCCACTGCACTGACTGACTCACCCAGGGATTTAAACCATGACCTTGGCCTCATTATCATGATGTTATAATCTACTGAGCAAAATAGCTAGAAAAATGAATTCTGAAGACAGGAAGTAAAAATTCTGCTATTGTGTCTCCGAGCCTACTGCACATCTGTGTCCTTTCTGTAATTCTATTAGCAGCTGTTCTGGATATGGATGAGGAACTGGAGACAGGATATTCTACTGAAAATTAAAGCTGATCATGTCAGTTCTGTGCCTAAAAAAACCTCCACTGCCTTTCTAATGACTACAGAATGAGTTCAAATTCTTCATAGCATATAAGGTTGTAGCATAATCTTCCCACAACTTGTTTCTCTGGCTTTATCTCTTGCTCTAATTCCCTGTCTCTCTACCTTCCCTGCCTCTCTCCCTTCATACTCCAATAACGGTGACTTTTCTCATTACTTTGTGACCACTCATTAATTGTGAAGCCTATATTTATTGAGCCCCTACGATATATAAGACAGTCTAGTAGGCTGTGGAGAAATTGGAGTGAGAGGCATAGTCCTTTCTCTTAAAGAATTCATGGTCTAGTTGAGGCTACAGACAAGGAAATAAATGCCTACTATGCCCTGTGATGAGTGCTAACTGTGACAAGGTCTGTATGGCGCTAAGAGAGCCTGGGGTAAAAAGTTGGAAAGAGGAGGAAGGGAGGGATGAGCATATGGTGAAGACAAGAAGAAACTGACTGAGAGGAAGGTCATGGGAGAGGGAGTAGAAAGTCACAGAAATGAGAAACTACCCATTCAGTGAAGTGTAAGAAGGTTGTCATGGCTGAAGAGGGGAACGTGTTGGTAGATTGGACTGGAGAAAAGGCAGGGATTGAACCCCAAAGGAACCTATATATCTTGACAAAGTTTAGATCTTACTTCTCTGCATCCATGTTCCCTTATTTCGAGAATGCATTTTCCGTTTCTCCTGCCCAACTTAAACCAATAATGAAGACAGATTCTCTACCCAGAAATTCTCAACAAGTGTTTGTTGGAACACCTACTATGTGCTATGCACTGCTCTAGGTGTTTGGGCTACATTAGTAAAAATCCTGATCTGTGCATGTACCTTTGTTTAGTAGATAGAAGTTGATGATTAATGATATACATACGAAGTTGGGATATTGGTGAACACGGAGTAAAAGTAAAGTTGTCAGAGAGCTGACAGTGCTATGGAAAAAGGAAAAAATAGGGTACGGTAAAGAAGACTGGAGTCACCAGGGAATGGGTGGGGCAGTCTGGAGTATTAAATAGGATGGATAATGGAGCAAAAATTTGAAGGAACAGGGGGAGTCAGCAAGTGACTATCTTGGTGAAGAGTGTTCTAGGCAGAGGGAACAGCTAGAGGAAAGCCTGAAAGAAAGTAATGGATGAGGTCAGACAGATCATGTGGGATTTGTGAGGCCAATTAAAGACATTAACTTTGACTTAATGAAAATGGGGAGCCACCACAAAGTTTTGACCAGTAGAGTGATACGATCTGATTGTTTTAGGAGACTTGCTCTTCGTGCTGTGCTGGGAAAAGATTCTAAAGCCACAAAGATGCAACCAGGAGAAACTATAGAAATGCCAACCATCTAAGTATATTCCTGTGCAGAAGGAAAGCAGCAATGGCTCCCAACATTTGAGGCAACCAGACATCTTAACGGAGTGCTGAGAACTCAGTTAATTCTGATAGTGTAATTAGTTTGATTTTAGTTTAGATATGCCTCTATGACTTATTTAGTAGATTACAAGCAGCTTTTTACTTAACATGTACAAATGAAAGTCCACAGACTTACAGGCTTTACAAACTCATGTCCCTATAGGAATTGAAGAAAGGACTTGCATTTTGGAATTAGTGTGTTAGCCTATCAATGGGACCTTGAGAATTCAATGATGAAGATGCCCAGCTACTTCTAAAGTTAAGAACAATGCAGTTTCAACCTAACTCAAATTCATATATTTGAGGGACATGTCCAAGTAAAACCTATGCCAGATTGGACACAGTGAGATGTGATAAACTTAAAAAATTTTTTGTTTAAAAGTACATTTATTTTGAGAAAGAGAGAGCGCAGGGAAGGGGCAGAGAGAGAAATCGAGAGAGAGCGAGAGTGAGAGAGAGAGAGAGAGAGAGAGAGAGAGAGAATGAATGAATCCCAAGCAGGCTCCGCACTGCTAGGCAGAGCCTGAAGTGGGCCTCAAACTCATGGACCATGAGATCATGACCTGAGCTGAAATCAAGAGTGGGACCAACTTAACCAACTGAGCCATCCAGGAACCCCCGCCCCTGCATTTAAAAAATATTTACTATTTATTTTTGAGAGAGAGACAGAGAGTGATTGAGGGAGGGCATAGAGAGAGGAAGACATAGAATCCAAACCAGGCTCCAGGATCCTAGCTGTCAGCACAGAGCCTGTGGTGAGGCTTAACTCATGAGCCTTGAGCTATTAACCTGAGGAGCCTTGAGATCATGACCTGAGCCTCACAGGCCAAGAGATCATGACCTGAACTAAGGTCAGAAGCTTAACCAACTGAGCCACCCAGGTGCCCCTATGATAAATATTTTAAGTAAAATACTAAACCAGAGCAAACAAAACACTTCTAAGATTCAGACTGTAGTAAGATCAAAAGATAGAGATCTTTTGAAGGTGTTTTACTTTCTATAGTTCTGAGTAGAGCAATCTTACATTAAATTGAACCTATTACTTTGAAAACTAGCCCATTTAAAATTCTATATATATTTTATCTATATGATATACAGTCTGACACATTTTTATTCTGAAAAGATATATGAATCAAGGTAGAAAATGATTTTAAGATACTTCCTGAGGATTCCTTTTAATAGGAAAAACAGGTGTAGTTTTAGTAAAGGAATGAAAAATGAAACACAGTAAGATAACTTACTTCTGCTTCAATTCTGTAACATGTCAGCTGTCCCAATGATACCAGCTCATGTGCATTGTATTTCATATGCAGGCACTACCTCTAGGCAGGTGAGGCCGTGGGAGTGCCAGGGAAACACAGTCACAGGCACCCAGCATGCTATGTTTACTGGTAGAAAACAGTGTGGGGCCCACAGTGTGGCTTTGGTGTAAAGGAAACACCAAAATTGTCTAACTTGGACAACCACTTTTATGTACTCAAAATAACTAAAATTAAATGTTCTCACTTTTCACTTCCCAGTTTCTCCCATTTTCTATTTTGCAATGCTCATGGTGTAATTCTCAACCTTTGTTGAGGGAGTTTTCAAAATATACCCGTGTCCAGGGTTCTAACCCCACAGATTGATTCATTTGATCTAGGGTTGAACCCAGGTGGTATTTTTAAAAAGTGACCCAGATACTTTTACTGTGCAGCCAGGGTTGAAAACCACCATGATTTCAAATTGGAGTACAAATATCTAGGTTCTAGTTGTAGTGCTGGCGTTTACTAGCTGGCTGATTTTTAAGTCCTCATTTTACCATAGGATGATGAGGTTAGCTTAGAGATTTATAAAAATCCTCTAACTCTAAACTAAAACAAAATTAAATAAATTGGGAGGCATATGATCTCTTCTAGTTTGCTCAGCTCTAAAAAGATGAAAATGGAATTATCTGGAGTATGCTAGCTTGGTTTGAAGCAAGTGAGTTAAAAAAAAGAAGAGCACATAAGTAGACTTTTCTTTCCTCCCTCTTCCCAATTACAAAGCATGGGAGAAAAGAAACAGATATTTAAGCTGAGAAATCACAAGAGACTTCTAGGGCTGCTCTGTCTGTCCCTAGCTCTCTTAAATTGGGAGTTAGTCATATGGTACCTGGGGAACAGAGGGAGGGGGGAGAGAGCTTACTATACACCAAGAAGGTAAATATAATACAAACCCCAAAGGCCTTACACTACTCATCTTACCATAATCCGGCCTGGTACCAAACACTATGAGTGTGGGAGGCGAGGCAGGGGTGTGTGCATATGCGCGCTCACACACACTCCCCTATTCTGTCATCCACTGCTCTTGCGGAGAGCGCCCAGAAGGCGCTCCCCAGCCAGGACCACTCTGGCCCCCCCTTTACCCCTCCCAGCCCGCTCCCTGCTCTGCCCCCACCAAGACAGTCCTCTGGGCTGCTCTCAGCTTGGTCCACAGAAGGCAGTGGCAGCCACTGCCATTCTCCTGCAGCTGGTTTTCAGTACCGAATCCGTCTCTGTGCCTCTAAAATCAGACTCAGACGCTAACCGGATCCCCTCGCTTCTCTGCCTCTTCTCTCTAGACCAGCCCCCATCCCCACCCCCCGCCAAAGGGCCAAATAGATGGAAGCCCTTAGCCCAAGCTCCGGCTCATTCTCACCCTCCTGATGAACCTAGCACCCTCACAGCTTCCCGGCTCCTCTTCATCCTCACACCATTCCCAGACAAACCCTAACTCCCCCAGTCTCATCTCCCCACCTCTCTGCGCTTTACCAGGTCCCCTCAGGGCCTCTCCACAGATTCTTTGCCACCAGCCCTCAGTTTTCCAGAACTTCCTCATCCTCGCCCCAAACCCCACCTCCAGTAGAGGGTCCCAGATCCTCTAAATCACCTGCACGCCCCACTCACTCATAGCTCCCTCTCCCTCTCCTCAAGTAACCCTGGCCGGGGGGTGGGTCCCCACGTCTTGCACCCTAGGTAGCCTCCCCAATTCAACGCTCTCCCTCCTTACAGGACCCCAACCACGACACCTGGGGAGCCCCCCCACGGACACTTTCACCTTCGAGCCCGACGTCTGGGCATCCTCCCCCTTCAGCACAGTTGCCTCCTTTCCAAAACCGTAGGCGTCCCCACTTCCCGGTCACACCCCATCTCCGGACCTGACACTCCTCCCCACACTCCTCCCCGCCCCCAGGCTTTACCTCCAGACCTGACCCACAGGGCGCCCCCATCCACCACTGCTCACACTCTCGTCCCCCACTCTGGACTCCTTGGGTGCCCCCTCACAGGCCAGCGTTCTCCACTCCCCCCACCCCCAAACTCGCCCCCTACTCCCCCTCTTCTCGTCCTCCCCCCGGCCCACACAGGTCACGCTCGGGAGGGGTGCTCGCTGGCCCCGGCCTGGGCAGCCAGGAGGTGACGCGGCCCCCGCGGGAGGAGCCCGGGAGGCGGAGGGGCGGAGGAGGCGCGGGCGGCGGCACCGAGCGGCGGCGGCGGCGGCGGCAGCGGCGTAGGGAGCGGGCCCCCGGCGCCGACTCCACCGACCCAAGGGGCGGCGGCCGCGGAGGGTTTGCGGGCGGGCGCGTGATGAGGGACCACCGGCGCCCGACCCTGCTACGCGTCGATGCTCGCTCGGATCCGGGCGTTGGGAGCCGATGGGCCCTGGCCCCGGGAATCTCCGCCGCTAGCCCCAGTCATCCCTTCCTAGCTTTTGCTTCTCCGCTCTAGCCCGGAGCCGTCTCCGGCGGCCGCCCTCGGCCCCGCGGCCCTTCCCTCGTCGTTTCCGGAGGGGTCCTCCCTCCGCGGCTTCTGGAAGCCCAGTGACGCGTCAGTCGGCGGGACAGCTGAGCTGCTTCTCTGGGAAATTAGCCCCTGCTTCCTCACTCCCCTCTCAGCTCCCGCGCCGGCGCCCCTCCGGCTGGCGGGACGCCGCCTCCCCGCGCTCGAAGCGAGTTCCCGGGACTGCCCCAGGGGGCTGGTTCGCAGCTCACCCCTTCCCCTCCGCGGCGGCGCGCGCCCCCGCCCCCGCCGGACACACTCGCGCCCCGGCCGGCGCGCCGCCCTCCCGCCCGCTCCCTCCAGTCACCCCACCCTTAGCCGTCCCCGCCACCTTACTCCGCCACCCTCCCCCGCCGCTCCGCGCACTCCGCGTCCCGGCCCGGCCTCCCGCTCCTCTCCGACAAAACGCTCACTTAACAGCCCTTCAAAAAAAAGAAAAAGAAACATAAACCGGAGCGCGCTCCTCAGCCCACAAGACCCACCGCGCACGCCCACCCCACCCCCCCCCCCCCCCCCACTCTTTCTTTCTTGGGGGAGGGGGGCTGTCGCCTCGGATTGAAGGCCATTGATTTGTATGTATTTGTCCCAGCGCCGGAGGCTGCCCCAGCCGCCCGCGCGGGTGCCGCCGCCGCCGCCAGTGGAGTTGCCTCCCTGCTTCCCTAGGGTGGTTAGGCTCCACCAAACATGTCGGCTCCTGTCGGGCCGCGGGGCCGCCCGGCTCCCACCCCGGCGGCCTCTCAGCCGCCCCTGCAGCCCGAGATGCCCGACCTCAGCCACCTCACGGAGGAGGAGAGGAAAATCATCCTGGCCGTCATGGATCGGCAGAAGAAAGAAGAGGAGAAGGAGCAGTCGGTGCTCAAGTAAGGACCCGGCTCCATCTTCCCGCCTCTCTCCCTACCCTCCGCCCCCACGGCCGCTGCCCTGCGGCCGCCTGCGCGCCCCGGATCGCCGCCCTCCCTCCAGCCGGCGGCGCCTGGGCCACGAGGGCTGCAGCCGGCGCCGGCCGCCGGGGCTGCTTTCTGGGTGCCAGAGCGCGGGGGTGTGTGTCGGAAAGGGAGGGTGCCGAGGCCGGCTGAGATGAGGGTGGCGAGCCTTTAGGAGCTGTAATTTTCCCGGGCGTCCTTACGGCTTCCCCCGCGGGCCAGTTGGGCTCCCGGGTCCCCACGGGGCTGAAGCTGAACCCAGGCTCGGCGCGTCCCCTCTCCTTTCCAGCCGCCCCCGCGCGGTGGCAGTGACTGGGGCAATGAATCCAATATGGCCGTGCACAGGTGCTCCCTGGCCGGGACCCGGGCGAAGGCGCGCCGCCGGGGCTGCGGGCGCAGCAGGGGCTCCTCGTCCCGCGCTTCCGCAGGGCGGCCCTGCCTCCAACGCGGAGAAGAGCAGAGCTGCCCGCGGTCGCTGCGGGCAGAGGGCGGCGGTGCCGGCTAGGGGCCTAAACTCTGGCACGTCTCGGGTGGGTGTGCGGCCGCCGCCATCTTCCAGCCCCTCCCCCTCGGCGGGTTCTAACACCCTGCACTCTGCTGCTCTTCCTGTTTGCAACTAGTAAATCTGTTTAATCCTGAAGAGACTCTGAAGAGGCTCCCGTTCCTACCATTACTGCAGTTCGAGCTGCTTCCCTACCTTGTGAAGTTCTACTACTCGTGTTCATAGTCTAGGCAGCCGGGATTTTGCCGAGGGTGGGAGAGTTAAAGCAGCAGCCAGGCGTCAGTTTAGCGCTGTGTAACTTCAGCACCAGGGAACTGTCCAGACAGAAATACAGCTTTGAGACTCCCTTCGTCAGTCTAGCAAAGACGTTTGTTTCTACAAGCTTGCTGTTAAATGTTTTATGGTTATTTGATTTCTCAGATACTGTGTGAAAGAGATTGTGCAGAGGATGCTTAACCTTTTTATGTTTTTCCAACGCAACTTTTTTCTTTCTACTTGAAATGAATTATTCACTAAGAGATTAACTTGGACAGTTTATACGCCAGAAGTGGGACTGTTCTTTTAGCATGTTATCAAGTCTACTTTTCCCATATTCTCCACAGAAACACAAAATTGAAAGAGTAGAGTTCCTCTGTGGAGGATGCAATACACTGACCTCTAATCATGTAAATTTTAAAAACAGGTTGTTGAATTCAGTATTCTTTAACACATTTGTAAAGAGATACTTCCCTGTCTATACATATATATTTTCACATTTTAGTGAAAATACTGTAAATTATGCTAAAATATATCAAATATCTGTACATGTTTGAGAAAAATACGATTTCTCAAAAAATACTGAAGGACTAAGAGAGCAAATATTCCTGACATACTAACTGGAATAAAGAAGAATTGCTTCTTCAAAGCTAATTTGTGGGTTTGGAGACTTGTTTGGGAATGTGATTTATTAGTAGGCTTGGGAAATGAAAAATGGTTAAGAGATTTAAGTAGCTTATTTTAACTAATGCGAGAATAAAGCATTATTTTTTAAAAGCTTTTTGAGCATAATACTCACTTTGCTTTACTATATATACTAACAATGGCTAGCTTTTTGATGAGTTAGAATTTGATATTTAGACATATGAATCAATATTTTTTACTATAATTGTGATAAAATTGGTGTTGCCGAAGTGATGTCAAGTAAAATATAGTTTTATTTCTTTGGCCCACATATTTAAATGTACAGTGTGTTTTTATTTCTTTGTAGTATGCTAAATCATAGTGTATACTGGCTAGTTCACTGTAGTTCCAAATCCATTTATTGTTCTAGTATATAAAGATGTAAATGAACTTTCCATTAGTGAATTAAGAATTACTCAGATTGAACAATAGGTTACATTAGGAAAATATTGTGAAAGGCTTTTTCATGTAGGTACATTATATTACCTACATTACATTTCTATGTAAGCCTGCCTGCTATGCAAATACATCACATATTCATGCATTCATGTTCGCACAGTTTATGTAGAAACATTCTCTAAACATACATTCATACAGTCAGTGAGATTACATTGATGACAAATCTTCATATTTATTTTAAATGTCTATTTGCATTTCTGCCTAACTTAGTCTTGGAAAGAGTCATACCTCAAAATGGCCTACATGGCTTCAGAATTATTTTTATATTCATTTTAACTAGAAGTTTTTTGGGAGGTTAAACCATAACATACTTAAAGTTTTAATTTTCTATGTTCTATAAACATGTTTTTGGCTTTTTAAATAAGTTAAGACTAGGTGAGGAAAATGAGGAAAACAATAGACTTTATAATAGAATTATAACAAGAAAACTTGTTTTGAGGAGTTTTTTAACTTAAGTAATATCAAGATTGAGTATTAAGTTACAAATACTATATATAAGAAAAAGTAATATTAGTATTCTTCACTGATTACTATTTCTCATTAAGTTTTAGGGGATCATTTATCTGGTCAAGACTACACTATCCCTTGTTTCTCTTTAGTGATGTCTATTTAATTAGAGATGTCCATCTAATTGCATGTTAACATCTATATTGAGAGAAGGTCATGGACAGAGATACATAAACTGAAAATCAAATTCATGTCTGCTGCCTTGTAACAATTATGTTGAAGTTTGATGTGTGAAAAATTGAAACTCTTGGGTGAAAATATTTTCATATTAAGAATTCATACCAAGGGGGATGTGCATACCAAAGTACATCACAGGATGATATGTTGGAATGCAGGAAGAGAATATTAAAACTTATATTTATATTTCTATTTTTCTTTGAAAAAGAAATTACGTTTTACTGATACTTAATATGTAGATTGACAATATTAAGAGCCATATAATTTGTAAGTACATATGCACATATTAAGAATTTCATGCCTGAGATATTTTTAATGGGAGAGGTGAGTGATCAAAAGACATTGAGACCACTATAGTAATCTCTCTTTTTAGGAAGAGATTAGTTAAGAACTATTTATATTTAATTATTAGCAATTTATTCAAAGCCTTGCCGAACATCCACACATTCGGAAGTCTTCTCTATCATCAAGTAATATTATTTTACATGTGATTGAGATACTAAAATTTTGAAGTATTTTAATATATCAGTAGATCCTTCAATAGATCAGATCCTTCAATAGATCAATAATTACTTTTTTTATCCATATCAGAAATTCACGTACAGTTTTAGTTTTGATAACTCAATCTATAGGTAAAATCTTTAGTGTTCTTTTACTTATTAATGTTTTTAAGCCTTGTCTTTCAAGACTGTAAACTTCTTGAGGGCAAGAATAATAATGTCCTCTTCCTTGGAGTTTTTTTTTTTTTTTTCCTTTTTTCTTTTCAGCGTCCTTAACACCTGCATAGATTAGGTACCCAGTAAGTAATGTTGATATGACTTGTAATGTTAATGAGACAGTTTATAAATTTTGTTGAGAAAATGAAGAATAGTTTTTTGAAAGAAAAGCATAATTTGTTAGGCTTATATTTTACAGTGAGGTTTTTTTTTTTGATGTGGTATTAAGAAAAAAATGTATGAGATAAGCAAAACCACTGAAATCAATAGAAAAGTATTCATTCAGTAAATGTTAATTGAGTTTCTACTATGTGCATATCATAGTTTTTCAGATAGTGAGTTTTTATAACAAATTAGAAATTGTTTTTTGATGTGTAAATTTTATTTTTATTCTGTTTGGATTTTCTGTTAATGTCAAAAGGATAATTTGCTTCCCAAATAAAAGAAGACAATGAGTAAAAATTTCATAATAGATCAGAGTGATAATTTAGCTCATATATAAAACATAGATGAGCATTTTTTTAATAATTCAATTTTAAATTGTATTTTTCAAAGCCAATTTATAAGCTTTTTTATTAGTAGGTAATATATACCTATGGTACAAAACTTCTTAGCTACTACTTTTTCCCCAACCCAGAGGCAACTACTTTTGTCATTGTACTGTATACTATTCCAGAAATATTCTATGTGTAAAAGTAAATAGGTGTGTACATCACATATTGTGTGTGTCTATAATGTGTGTATGTGTGTGCACACAGATGTATGGATGTATATGTGTAAACATAAAAAACACTGATATGCCCTGCAGTTTAATTTTTAGGAGATGAGTTCCACACCCATTAATATATAGCTTCCCCATTCATCTTAATGGCTGCATAATATCTCATTTTATGAATGTTCTGTAATTTCTTTATCTTATTTTAATTAAAAAATTTTTTTTTAACATTTAGTTTTTGAGAGACAGAGAGAGACACAGCACAAGCAGAGGAAGGGCAGAGAGAGAGGGAGACACAGAATCCAAAGGAGGCTCCAGGCTCTGAGATGTCAGCACAGAGCCCAATGTGGGGCTTGAACCCACGAGCTGTGAGATTGTGAGCTGAGCTGAAGTCAGACGCTTAAGCAACTGAGCCACCCAGGCACCCTGTAATTTCTTTAATTAGAACCATTTTTATGGATATTTAGGTTGATTCTCATTATTTTGCCATTAGAAACAACACTGCAATAAATATCTTTGTGCATATATAATTTCTTACATATTTGAGTGTATCTCTGGAATAAATCCCTAGAAATGCATTGTTGAGTCAAAGAGTCAGTGTGTTTTTGCATTGTTGGATCAAAAGGTCAGTGTATTTTAAAATTTTAATAAATATTGCCAAGTTTATTTTCATAGAGTACGGATGCATAAGTGACATAAACTAGGGAGACTCCATATCCTTTACAATTCAGTGTGTGATACTCTTTGCCAATATTTTGGTGAAAAATAGGCCATTGTAGATTAATTGAAATTTTCTTTTTATCAGTGAAGTTGAGAGCCTTTTGCATTTGTTTAGAGTCTTGTTTTTCTTTTGGTCATTTTTAGTTATTTGCAGAAGCTCTTTTTATTGTCATTTGTTTTATGACCTTGTTTATGCTTTTTT